AGGTAAGCTGAGGTCAAGGGATCGACCCCTGGGATCTGCATCGGCTACTGCCAAAGGTGAACACTGTTTCAATACACAATACATAGCAGTATCTTGGACAAAGGAGCTCGCATCTGGAGAAAGGCTGCCTGCTATAAGTGGAACCCGATCCCAACCGTCCCCCTCTGTCCCCCTGGACTTGCCAGACATAGGGGACAACCTTAGTACACTCCTCAGACCTTCAAGCAGGACGCAATTACGTTACCGCCAAATGGCAGGAATGTCCTGCAGGACTTACCATCTTCACCCGAATGTAACGTACGGTAAACCTGGCTGTACCCAGACTCAAAGTTACAGCTATAATAACCGTACGGCATATGTTGTATTCCAGTGAAGACGGTAGTGCATCAGTAGGGCCTGAGAGTGCCCGGGTAGAGGGTAAGTGGAGGCTGAGAGTCAGAAGTATATCATTTGGTGCAATGAGTAGTCTGAGCAGTAACCCGACTCTTATGCTGCTGCACCGCCGTGAGGGAGAGTTAGGCCGAGCTCTGGGTTGAAGGAGGAGGAGCTGAGGGTGATGAAGAGGACCTCCACGGCTATGGAATAATAGTAGAAGGGAGTAGGCCTAAGGTATGGAGGTGTAGAGGGAGCAGAACCTCAAGCCAGGCTATGAAGATAGTAGACAACGGCACTTAGAACACAACGCGCGAGGCATTACATATCACAGTCGACGCAATGTGCCCATGGCATGCATATACTGCCCTTTTAGCCGCCTCCTGCTCAGGTAGCACTTCTCAGCCATTTCCCCCCTCTTCAACCGTCAGTACACGGCCCCAGCCTTGCTGAAAAGGAGCTTGTCGCCTGGTCTGAAAAGTTTGGGGCCGGCGCGGTGCTGATAAATTCCATCAATGGCGGGCATCACGTTTCGGGCTCCGAAAATCGCGGTGAGGGGCCGGCGGCCGATGTATGGCCGTGTACCGTGCACCCCTATGTCAACACATAGCCTTCCTGGCGCACCCACGCGACCCTGGGCCACCACTCGCCAACGCACAAGCGTTATCACTGCCCCACCATTATCCAGCGAAGCGCCAAACAGCTATTGCGAAGGCTGCCAGCGGAGTGGCTCGAACCAGCTTCGATACCACATTGCAAGGAAAATGAGCAATAGTGAAATGACAGATTCCAGATTGCAAAATCACATTGAAAGCCAGGAAGTCCGACATTGTGCAGAAAGCAGAATTGCACCGATATTACACCAATGGAGAACCAAAACACTGAATCCGAGTGTCAATGAGAGCATACTCTCGCCGTCACCAACATAAGTATCCAGAGCCCTTCTTCCTACTTGGCGCTCGGCGCCCAGACTACAATCTTGCAGCTAGTACCAGCCTACGAATTGACAATGCAACTGTTGACATCAGCAGCAGAACCGAAGTACATGAAGATGTCTACCCTTGTAGACTATCACCAAGACCAGGCCCGTGCCCTCACATCATCATCATCATCCTCATCTCTCTCTCTCTCTCTCTCTCTCTCTCTCTCTCTCTCTCTCTCTCTCTCTCTCT